GAGCTGGATGAGTCTGACACCACTGCTGTAATATGGCAAAAAGATTACTGACAGATTGAATTTGATATTCTTTAGACATGACTTTGCAATGTCAACTGTCAAAAATCAGCATTTAAATGCCCTAAGGATAGCAGAGGAAGAAGGGATCTAGAAAATAAAATTTTAGGGGATGTGAAAAAGGAAGTCAAAGTAGAGAGTTACTATATCTCCTGGAAGTCCATCAAGAATTAAACAGATATGGATAAAGCTTTTCATCAGCCAGCTCCTAAGACAAGTTACTCAAAACAAATAAATAAAAAAAGATTAGAAACTGCTTCTTTGTCTGTATAGCCAATAGGGGTTCAGGGAAATGGTCTACATGGCAAAATGGAGATGTAGCACATGCTGTCTTGGAAGGGGGAATACAGACAGTGGATGCAATACTGCACACAAAAACCCTATTGTCTTCCTGCCTGACAAAGTATTGTTTTGACAGTATAACGGAAAAAAAATAAGAAAAACTGCTTAATACTGGAGGGTGTGAAATTATCATTTAAAATCTACTTTGACAAATACCAACTCATCAAATACAGAGATGCAGTCTTGCAGTATTGCTCATCTTCCCTAAAAGGTCAGGCTTAAGAACAACCTACAAGTTAATTAATTAGATAGCTCGCAAATGAGACTTCATCATGGATTGTCCCTGCTATGATGGTGCTAGAGAGAGTGGGTGTGGATTTAACAAGAAGGCATACACTGAAAAGGAGGCAAATCAGGTGGAAAACAGTGGATTAAAATTAACACAATATTCTCCCCTCCCAGACAGTATAGAAGTATTTCCACTCTGAAAGAGTGCAACCAGTGTAGAAAGTGTGTTTTACAACTCTTTTACAGATAAATTACAGTATTTACTCAGCAATTTTTAAAGGCTTTAACCATGGAACCAAAGTGCTTTTGCATAAAATTAAAACCAATCTGCCTGTTACTGTGGCCATGCCAAAAATATAAATACAGAAGGCAAGATACTTGGATTCAGGTAAATATAGTACAAGAGCATGCTGAATTTTCATGGCCAGTCTAAACCATGTAACTGGATCATAGCTCAATGCTAGGGGTACAGAGAATAAAGAACATTCCAGTGAAGGGCTAGAAATCAGGCCTGAGGTCACCTCTGTACCATACTTAAGTGAAAATTAGGTTAAGGGATGAACTGCAGATGACTTTACCTCAGCAATATATGCAGTGCACATGAGTGAGAATGTCCCAGAAACTTGTGTGTTTGCATGCTGAGTGCACCTTGAGTAATGAGTGCAACAAGGGTGGGTGCCATGTGCACTACCCATATAAAAGGTCACTGCTGACAGGAACTCAGTGAGTGAGTGAGTGAGTGTGGGCGCGAGTGTGTGATTTGAAACACATGAGCGTGGCATGGTCTGTTTGATGGAAGAGGTCTGGTGGACTGTGGGTCCTATTGCATGGTGTTGCTGTTTAGCTGCTGCAGTGTGTAGAAGAGAGTGAACCACTGGAGCTGGAACAGCACTGAACCTTAACCCCTGAGTGTTATTTCCAGAATTACTTCATGGGCTCCCCTACCATTGATTTGTGTAAGTTGTGACCGAGTCAGCTCCCCAGAATTGCCCCCGGGAGCACTTAGTGTGATAAGCAGTGGCTCACACTGCTTTGGTAAGTATCACCCCTCCCCAAAGGGAAAGAGGGAAGGAAGGGGTTTACTCTCCCTGAAGAGCTGACAGCATCAGTATCACCTTGTCACAGCCATAGTATCCAGAGCAATAAGGCACTCAGTCATTGATTCTAGTCCTCTATATAGTAATTGCATTAAGTATTCTTTTGATCATATTAAGTTTTCCTTGTTACCCTGTTGCTACTTACCTTTAATAATAAACCATTCGATTTGTTTCAGTTGTAACACCTGAGTTTGCATCCTTAAATTAGCCGTGATCATAGTTTTGTTTGGGTTAGTAAGGATCTGATAGATGGTCTAGCTACTTCACTAGCTAATTCCTTGCCCAAGAATCATTTGGACTGTGAAGCCTTTCACTAGTATTCATTAGAGCCTTAATTAATAAATTCACAGTCTAACAGCTTGGTGTCCCACTGGCGTCCCTGGCTAGGTATGAATACATCAATAGATTTCTATGGTCTAACACCAGTTGACCTTGACTACCATCATTTTATTTATTTATTTTTACTTTTATGAAATCCCTGTGGATTTTTCAGACAGTGCCCAATTTTGCAATTTCCATGAAATCATAAATTGAGTAAGTCCCTATCCACGGTAACTTGTTAATTGTCCATTATGTAAGAAACAGTTTAATTGTATATAGTCTTAAATCCACTGCCTTTCAGTTTAACTAACATGCCCCCTTGTCTTGGATTAACCCTGTTTTTTTCCCCATAAGAGAAGTCATCAACATAAATGAATACTGTAATAATAGGGGCCAGCAACCTTTTAGTCATGGCACGCTGCTTTAGAAACAAAGTTAGGCCGTGGGGCTGGATGCAGCTTTCAACCCAGCAGTCATGAGGACTGCGGTTTGACCACCATGATTATGGACCTACCCAAAATGCAGCCCCACCCATCATTACCAATTGGCAGAGAGGGGCAGGGCTGCATGACAGGCAGCTCTCTCAGCCGATCAGTGGTGAGGGGCAGGGCCAGCAGTCTATTGTGACCACCATGACTTCTGCAGTACTGTAGTGAGAACTGCTATTGACTTGCCACAGATACATACCATTTTCATGGACAGGATCCAATTCCTTTGTGGAGTGGATCCAGGCACTAAGCCATAGGTTGCCACCCCCTGCTCTATATAGTTTCATAGTAGCTAGGGTCAGGAGGGACCTGAACAGATCATCTAGCCTGACCCCCTGCCACAGGCAAGAATGAATGCTGGGTTCACAAGACCCCAGACAGGTGATCATCCAACCTCTTCTTGAATTTGCACAAGGTAGGGGCGCAGACCAATTCCCTGGGAAGTTGGTTCCAGGTTTTGGCCACCCTAACTGTAAAATAGTGCCTTCTGATCTCTAACCTAAACCTATTCTCCATCAGCTTATTACCATTGTTCCTTGTCACCCCAGGTGGTACTGGGGAGAAAATGTTCTACCTATTTGCTGTTGGTCTCCCCTGATGAGTTTGTAGGCAGCCACCAGGTCCCCCCTCAGCCTCCTCTTTACCATAATTAAACATATGGTAAATCTCAGTCATATGCAAATTAATCCTATGATCAAATAAGTTTTAAATGATTATTCAACTATATTTTTATTTTCAGAAAGTATAATATATACTGGGAGAAGGAGTACACAAACTACTTCTCACCATTCATATCAATTAAGAATTGTTTCAAGATTATAGTAATATACGGGAAGAATTTAACTTATATTTGAATTAGTATGGCAAGTGTATAAAAAGGTAAAGAATATAAGAAGGAGCAAGCATAGAAATATGAATTTGAAGCAGCTTCAAAAGGGGTGGGGGTTTCTATGAAAAAAAAGAATCACCCCAACTTTGACCTTGGTAGAAGCAGTCAAAATTGGAGCAGTTTTGCTAGACTTGTATTACTAGAGGCTGAGGCACGTAAGTGTTAGTGTGACAACTGTTAGTTTGAGCAGTAGCTCCTCTTTCCCTTTTGAAGCTGTTCCAAGTTCATGTTTGTCCATACCCTATGTCTCCGGTATCAGACTCGCTGTTGCTTTGTTCACTGCTACGCATATTTAAGTAACCATATAACTAACTAACTGCATGCTTTAGTTATTCCACTGAGAGTTTGCTTTAAAAACAGTATGAAGAGCTTTAATAAAGCCATAACATCAGAAATACTGACATCAAGGTATACATGTTGGATATTATCAGCTTAATTCTTAGTTTTCCTTTGCAATAATTTAACTGTGAAAAGTTGGGAAGGAAAGGAGGAGAGCTTTTCCTCTCAAACATATCCAAAAGTAACATAGCTGCGGTGGCAGATATGAAATATAAAATTAATTTGCTCCCTCCTGCCTCTAAAGACATACTTGTTTAAGTAATGGCTCTTACGGCCCACGCCAGTCACTCAGCAGCCCTAAAAATAAATCCTTTTCCCAAATCCGTTACTCCATAGGAGCATCTTCTCACTAGGATCAGGCAATGCTACCCAGTCACAGATGTTGCCAAGGAGTACCAACTGGGGCAAAACTTCCATGCAATATTGCAGTAATAGGCAGGCACAAAAAAAAAAAATGCTGGACTACTTAGACGTGGAGATCACAGGATGTATACATCTTAGAGGTAGAAGGTAGTAGGCTAATGATACATTTCTTCTTCCCCCCTCCCCCCCGCCATTTCACAAGTTAGAGATAAAAATGAAGTTGTTCGTTTGCAGAGTTTACTGACCACCTTTCCCAGACTAGAAGGTATGTTTCACAAACTTCTACAGGATTGAGGAGCAGCAAGTGTTTTGCTAAAGTCCTGGTCCAGTGACATTAACAACAAAAGTCCCATTTACATCAGTATGAGTAAAATTTCACTTTTTGAAAAGGTCAAAAAGGTAAAGCTTTGTTTTTGAGTGATATCAAGATGCGTATCATTCTGTTTTTCAAGATGAAAACGATAACCTTTCACCTAAAAAAAAATATTAGTGTTACAGCAGAATACATCTATGGGATTGCTCTCCCCTGCAGCCAAATTATGAACTATTTTAGAGACACAGAGAATGGTAGGTGAAGAGAAAGAGGGTTGAACAGAAGACTGGGAAGATGTAGTACTTGGGAAGGAAAAACAAGAGGCATTCCAATTTTAGGAAGAAAACGTGGCTTGAAAATGGGAAAATAATGTAAACCTTTCTACTTTCAGCTCTCCAGTTTGAAAATGAGAGCTGGGAAAGAAAGTGAAACCAGCTATCTCCTCCCTACAGAGAACAAATCTAACTTCTGGGATAAAAAACATAAAATCCAAGTTTTACTGCTATCAAGAGCATTCAGAACAGAAAACGCCAAGGAACAAATATACAAATGCCAAGGCTCACCATCTGAATGGGTTTCTTGTGCAGATCCCTTTCAGTTACCAACTTCTCCTGGTCAGTGACATAAAGACCTTTCTGTGCCAAGGCTTGGATAACAGCATCATGACCCACAAGTGGTTTGGCAGCATCACTCTTGAGAATTAGACTCCCAGCACGACAGTAGAGTTCAGCAGATAGCAGCAAGTTAACAACCGGTGGTTTAATGTGTTCCTGATCATACTGGTCTGTGTAAAATGGTTCTCGCAATTCCTCTGGAACATTTTCTACAAAAAATAAACAATATATGTATATATATATACACACACACACACACACTTTTTTTTTGAAGAAAAAGATACAAATATTTCACAATACACAGACTAACCAGAGAGCATGTTCACATATAATTCCAAAATTACTTTACATGATGAGAGAAATAAAATCTGTGGTAGGAATCTCTCTTTAGAATATGGGAGCTAACAATTCAATATTAGTGAAAACTACAGATGAATGTATTACCATTAAAGAGAATAAGTCATAAATACTAGCTTGGTGGGAAAAGGTCCTGAGAAAAGTCCATGCTGCAAAGCAAAGTGTAACAGGGACAGCTTGTGGTTTTACAGCAGCATCAATTCAAGATGTCTTGACTTTTCCAACCTTATGGACAAACCTTCCACTTCTTTCAGCATGTTTTATAGTTCAGCCACATAAAGGCAAGATGACGTCTGTCAAATGGCTATGTTTAAACACAAAACTCTGTTTTATTCTATAATTTTATGTAAGTGGAAAAATTGTAAATTTTAGCATGCGTAGTGGGGGGAAGGGAAGGAAATCCACACCTTGTAAGTCAGACTGAGAACCCAGTAAGAAAACTCATGCTACACATCAAAAGTTAAATATTACCAAATGATAAAAATTCAATAGCTAATTATTACATAATGCTAACATTTCTACAGATATTTTAATAGAATCAATTTATTAAAAATAAAAGAACAGAGGGGGAAAAAGCTGAAGAATTATGGAGAATTTCCCCCTTTTTTGTTAAACACTGGGACACTAACGCTTCCCTGTAATAAGATGCCTCAATCTGAATGCCTTCGGGGTTAACAAAAGCTACATAAGAGTGTATCATGCAATATAGAGGTTCTCACACAAAACTGGAAGACAAAAACTGTTATAATAAAGGGACCCCAAATTGCGATTACATTTTTTGGGGGGGTGAAAAATGCAAACTTGGGCAGGTTCTGTGAAAAATGGTGAGCTCGCTGCAAAAAATAATTACTGGCAAGCAGAGGAAAGGGTGGAAAGCCCTGCAGTCTTGGAGCATGGGGGGGGGGGGGGGGGGGGGGG